CACTGTAAAACCTGTCCGGCTCTTGACCCCAATTCGCACCCACTAACATGGTGACACTTTCCTATCTGACGACACGGGCAAAGCTATGGCAGGTGACGGCAGGCCACTAAAAGACCTTCAACGGGGTCCTCTTTCAAGGCGGCAACATGAAGTCTGTCCACTCAACTACAACCTCAGTGCAGTCCCACCGACGAGTCGACAGACGTTGTTAATCTGCCTGATCTGGTCATCAGCTACTACCTATCTACGAGGGAGCAACTCCGTGAGAACAACTACCGGTAGGCAGAGGGGCATAGGGATGTACTCGATGGCACCCTAGTGACACGGACAACCAACAAATGAGCATAATAGTCCAGCTAGAAGAACTCCACTGCTCGCCTCACCCCTCCGGTGAAGAAACACCAACAGTCAATAGGGCTGGCCTGCATTCTTACTTGCAAGTAATGATGTCTTTAGGCGAAGAGCACTTGGTGTAAGGAACGCCTACTCGTAAAGAGAGAAGAGGGGTGGGGGGTGGGGGGGTGGGGGGTTGCCACACGGCGGGTCCGCACTCCCACTGAGAATTGATTACTTCACCTACGGTTGGCATAGGCGAGCAGAAGCTAGGTGAACAAAGGTATAATATAATGCCGGCGTCAGATGCGTACGAGTGCATCTCATCGCAGGACTAGCGGAAACATCTACATGTGCAAAATTGGCATAATGACACCGCCGACGACGGAGGATCTAAACCAGATGACGACTATTCGATTCGATTTCAGCACCGGATGGTGTGGCCGTTTGGTTCTGCACACATTTCGCACGGCAAATCGACACTAGAGACAGGTCTTTTAGATCCCCTGCTACGTGCACACACCACCATTCATTACCTGAATCCTGATGCGGGCAAGTTATATGCCGAGTAACCCGTGGGCGACGCACTATACCCATGCTGTGACGAAGAGGGTGCGCCCATCAACGAAACGCTGCATGAAGCAAACAAACATCGACCACACACCCAAAAAAAAACAATTACCACATCAGTACTGCAAGCAGACAAGAGGAAGAAGATTTCGACCAGGGAGAGGGAGGGTAAGAAAAAAAAAAAAACATTGCTTGCTGTCAACGTCACCTTCATGTTGCCTCTCCATCTTCTTCTTGTTGGCTACCGACAAAGAATGAAAACGAAATAACAAAGAATTGTATGTACAACAACATAATGCTGCTAACGTCGCCCTCACGCCGCATCACCTGTGGGCCACGGAAAGAGAAACAGCTGAGACTTGCAGGGTAGGAAAACGAATAGCACTACTCCCAACGCCGCCCCGTCTGAACCCACATCTGTCTGCGTCGGCTTTCTTAAGGACAAAAAAACAGGTCAAACAAGGGTCACACATATATCTTCCATCCCACCCATACACCTGCCGTGGCCTTTGAACGAGAGAAGAGTAGTCCCGGAAACGCTCTCCTTCTCCGCTCTCCTTCTCCCAGAGTACCTACCTCTAGTCCACGCCACCTTCCGTCTTCACACCACTGGACTTGGAAGATAAAACACAGCGACACGAAAAAATGGACTCCTTGCACCAAATAGCCAAGAGGGAAAACAACGAAGAGAAACAAAACCGGACGCGTCGTCTTGGGCTCAAAATAACAAGGAGTAGAGAAACCCACTGATCCCCACGAAAAGAGTGCAACTGCCGCCCAGAGATATGAAGACTGTCTGTGACAAGCAAAAGACACGCTGAAACTTCAAAAAACATACGAGCAACACTGACGGGACCACACACCACGATGACCACATCCGCAAGCCACCGCCTCTTCTTCTCACACCCCTTCCGCCCCTCAGTTAAAGATGTAGAAACGGAACCTACGGAGATTAAAAAGGTCAGCAAGAACAAAGATACCGAGCAGAACACCCCACTTTCAAGTTTCTCTTCACCTCTTCTTCACGTTCACGTGACCCTCCGATTGATTCACACATGGAGGCCTAAGAAGCGGACGAAAGCAAACGTCAACTTAAGAACCTGACGGCATACTCGCAAAGAATACAGACAAGGCGGGGGCTCATGGACCTATCAGTAAGTCCGAGACCGATGAACGAAATTTAAAAACTCCATTCACGGGCGAGCAATCGACTGACATTACAAGTGCACTTGCCCAACGACCTGGTCGAAGAGAAACAGGTCCTTCCATGACCAATGGTTCAAAACCTAGTTCCATAAGGGTGACACTGCCCGGAAAACGTAAAGTAGGGAGACAGACCGTGGAAGACGGCAGTTAAGGCAGCAGGTGCAAAACGGCCTGAGAGCGAGCGGCGACACCCTTGAGACCTAGTCAACAGTTCAGTCGAGCGGTCGACAGGACATCGGTGTACCCAAACCATCGAATCCCCAGTTAACGACGACCTATACACTTTTACAAGTGATCGAGTTAAAACTCGATCACAGCCGTCGGAACCCATTCGTTGACCTTAGAAAAACGCCACATAAGGTGCAAAATGCAGCCAGGTGAGGAGCACGAAAGATAATCGAAAGAGGTTAACGAAAAACGAACCAAGCAAAGCAATACCAGGCGAGCACCGAAAAGCCATCGTGGTGCTTTACTGCTCTGGACCAATCAGTGAACGCTTAGCAGCCGAGTCGACCAAAAACAGCATCCTCTCGAGGCAGTATAGAGACCTACTCCGGTACCCAACCCTAAACCCTCAAAACCAGAGATCCAACTAAGTCCCACTTCTACTCATCAGACAAAAAAGCAGCCGCATCCTACGTGCTTATGACCAAAGAACCGCAACAACCGTCATGCTCAGGAGGCAGAGCTGATCACAAATTTCAGCATCCTACGTGATTATGACCAAAGAACCGCAACAACCGTCATGGTCAGGAGGCAGAGCTGATCACAAATTTCAGGATTGGCAAAAGAACAGAGAGACACTTGAAATGGACAGAAAGTGACAGAGAATAATAGAAGCGCACTGCCGCATCAACCACACCACTTAGAATTGAAGTCATCACATTCTCCAGTCTGATGTGCGAGTACGAGAAAGCCTCTGATCTGAGCAGACTAAACCTATATTGACAAAGTAGCAACGTACAAAAAGTCCCTCGGCCATAAAACTCTAAAAGCCATAATGTTCCCAACCTCCCACCTTTCTCAAAAGCTCGTCTACCACTCCCGCGCACCCCGGACCACCCTCCCCCCCCCCCATGGGGAGATAAGATGCTCCCCACGATGAATTTCTCCCTACTCCCTTCCTGCCTACCACCACCTTCCAGACATGTTCTGCCCCCTTTTCCCGGGGTTGCCCTCAACCTCCCACCTTTCTGGGAACTCGTTTGCTACGAGTCCCTCCTCCCCCCTTCCCCCCCCCCTCACAACCGTCGAGGGCTAATAAAACTTCCCCGCAACGAATTTATCCCTACTCCCTCCCCTGCCTGCAACCGCCTTCCAGCGTACTCGACATGTTCTCAACCCCCTTCTCCTGGGGTTGCCCACAAGGTCGAAGAGGTCGAAGAGTTGCCTTTTCAAAAACCCCTCTCGGCTGACGCTGTCAACCTTTCTTGCTGGACTTGCTAATCCCTTCGCTAGACTGGAAAATTACGACACCATGCCCGCAATGGTGCCGACATGGCACTTCATATCTCACTGGCCCGGCGGTATACAGCACCACCAGAGCCCTGATAAAGCGAAAAAAAACAGCCGAGAAATTGATCAGCTTCAGGGTGTTCTTGATTTTAATGAGCTTCAAGCAACGCAACATTATATCAGCGACCCACTCACAGGAATGGTTGCTACAAGAAGCCTGACGGAGCCGCTCCCGCTGGGGGGTTAGATACCGCCCCAACCAAAAAATAGCCCTCGCAACAAGCGAGGTCCAAAAAATGGCCTGCCTAGCCATAGGTCAAAGAAGATCAACTGGAAGGTTGACATACTGCGCGCCGCCGTATACTGGGCGCCGCCATCGTGGTTCGGGCTCAGAAACAACCCACTTGTCTGCGGCAGTTCAAACTCAGCATCAAACTCAGCATCAAACTGAACATCGAACTCAAACTGAGCATCAAACTGAGCATCAAACTGAGCATCCACAGTTGAGCATTAAACTGAGCATCAAACTCAAACTGAGCACCAAACTGAGCATCAACAGATGAGCATCAAACTGAGCATCAAACTGAGCATCAACAGATACACCAACGGCAAGAAAACGACTGATGCTTCAAACTGAGCGAGCACAACGGTTAGGAAATGAAACAGCGCTCCCAATGCCCTAAACGAATAAAGATCCGCCTACCAAGAAAAGAAACGACCACAAAGACGACGTCTTGGCCTCTCATGGTCGCGGGATCAAATAGCTTTTGGGAATTGAGGGAAGAGGTTAATCCACAGATACTGAGTACCAGATCGACTGACGAAGACATGTGCCCGCACCACAAGAGGAGAGGAACGCGGTACGGTAAAGAACACCAAAGAGGGCGGTTGCCGAAGACTGTTAAAACCACAAAGGAGACGGCTTCAGGGGTGAGATACGGAAGACCGTGCCGAAATGAATTATTCCACCGTAATCGTGACGACAACTCCAAAGAGGGTTTCACCGGGAAAAAAAACACTACGGAATGAAAACAAACGGGCCTCAAGTCCATCCGATAGCGTTCGTTAATCGTGAGGAAGGAAGACCGTGTAACACTCGACTACGTCGTCTGTCATGCACATAACTAGAAAAAATTACGTTATCCGACGTTCCAGGTAGGCGGCACCTACAGTCTTCCCCCGAATACAACGTACGGTCATTATAGCTGAATTTGGCCTATCTTTCCGCCTAAATTCAGCTACAATGACCGTACGTTGTATTCGGGGGAAGAATGTAGTCACACAGCATGGGAGACTTTAGAGGGGCTCCACGTCCAGTCTATATGCCACAATGACAGCGTACTGGCCCTGGTATCCTGACCGCAACAACTCTCAACATACTCCTGTTGGTGCCTAAATCCCGCTGACACGCACTCCGCTAATCGTACCACCAACGACCGGCATCAATACTCGGTGGAGATCCGCAAACCCTAATCCAGCCCGGGAACGAAAAACCCTACAGCGTGCTAACCCGCATGTCTTTGTTCATCTCATTGCGTATATTCACATGTGCCCGCAAACCCTAACTGCACAGCGCGAAGCAAAAGAAACAAACTGAGGACAACTACCGTCTAGAGAAAGCCTCACTGTAGCAATCAATGCTTCAGCAATCAATGAAAAAGAATATCCGCCCAGCTTCGTTAGAAAAACAAGAAGATAACAGATCAGAAACGATAACGGAAATTTCCGCTCCCATCGGGATTCTCCTACCGACGCCAAGTAAAAGGAGGACAATCAACGCTGCAAGTATTTCGTTACAAACAAGAAAAGTCAATGAATGAATTTGCAGATTGGGAATGTTAGCAATCCCGGTAGACAAAACGATAAAGAAAAGACACAAAAGTGTCGACACAGAAATGAGAGGACATACACGCTTGCTTCCCTGAAGTGCGGCCGCGAAACCGTCTCCCAACTGGAGAAGCATAAAAGAGACAAACCACCGCCGCACCAACTTACAGCGTACTCGACATGTCCTCACCCCCCTTCTCCTGGGGTTGCCCTGCTTCCCCTCTTACAGGCTCTCGAGGACAAGGTCGAAGAGTTGCCTTTTCACATGATATATATTGTATATATATCGCTACACATACATATCGTCACACCGTGTATCGGAGGGCAAAGGCGAAAAAAAACAAAACAAAAAAGGAAAGGAGGAAGGAAAGCTACACAAATATATATTATTATATATGACGAAGAAAGACCTCTCCGCGGATCTTATCCGGCGGAAGGATCTTGTTCGTCTGCGGAATCTGACCGACCCTCTTCGCCGCCTGTAAGGGTTGGTTTCCCACCCCACGACTCTGGTGAGTCTCTTCGAGTGCCTCCAACCACTCTGCTGGCCAGAGCTTGTGAGTCGAGGGAGCCTGAACGAAGATCTCCGACCGTATCTCCGAGATGCAGTTGAAGGGGGGGAGTTCGTCAACGCGAGGTGTGGGTGGGGGATACCATACCAGACGTGGCAAGGCAGGAAGCAACGTCGTCTCTGTATTTACGTTGATTACTGACGTACTTACCAGCACAAGTAGAGGAGCTAAGTTATTCAAGCGACGGTCTTTCACTTCGTACAATTAACTCTTTTCAAGAGGGGATTCCCGCTAATACGTTTTCAGCTGTTCTCCCATACCAACGTAGCTACCCCGTAATGCCACTGGCATGACAACTGGTCCACCATAGCTTGACCCCATCCCAGTCCTCTCGTACTAGGGATGGCTTCTCTACGGCCGTAGTGACCACTAGAACGAAATCATCTGCTGACGTAAAGTTTCTGTTCTGCCAAACGAAGGCCTAGGAGCTTCTTCCCATGGCGTTTCGCCGTCCACCCCATGCACCTCTATGAAATCACACGAGGCTTCCACGCCGAAGGAAAACCCTCTTCTGAGCCTCCAGGCACAATACATAACCGGTAAAGATCAATCGTGTGTGCTGAAACACTTCAACGATTACAACACGTATTCGTCAAACCCTAACGACATCAAGCAAGAGGCCATGGTCCAGTCCAGAGCCTCCGATCAGAATAATCAGAGGTTTACCAAGAAGTCAACCATTGGGGCATAATAAATATTCAAGCGGCCGGCGGAAAAGTGATTCAAAGAAGAAAAAGAAGCAGAGACAAGAGTCGAGCGGATCGAGAGCAGGGTCGAGCCATCGTCCCTGCAGCTCGGCATATTACCCTACATATATCCACCCCCATCCCTCCCTCCCTTCTTCCGCACAACACACAGACGTTCGTAGTACCGCCATGTATATGGAATGGAACGTGTTAGTAATAACAACCAATGCCCCACAGACAGAGAGAGTCATACCTCAAAGAAGAACATTAAACCACCAGTGTACTTGGCCCATCTATCGGCCGCGAGAAAGAACAGAGTGGAAACGTTTCTACTCGGATGAATTTGGTCGCCCCTGTGGCGACCCGTACATTTCCTAAAAATTAAATTGTGGCTTGTTAACGAGCACGACTTTAGGGACGTAAAGTAGTGGTTTAAACGATAAACCTCGTCACCATCGACAGGCGGTCTTAAACCCGGAGTTACCTGGAGACTTCGACGCACGATCGACGATCGGGCAATCTTGATCTCGATTCGCATGGCTTACCGCATTATAGTACATTCGGACTTCCTCTTCTTTGAAAAACCCTATTTGGTACATAGTTCATACCCAGAAGAATCTTGTTCGCCCAACTTCCGACCACCCAACCGCTTTCCCACCACTAAAAGAAAAGAAGACTCGCCTAAGAACGCAACGGTCCTGGGCTGTCAAAAGCGGGGGAAGAAATTGAGCGCATTCCGTCGAACAATGTAAACCAACCCAAAGCACGTTCATCCTGACTAAGCAACATTCGCAGACTTGACTTGAACATCAACTCACGACAAATGAAATTAACAGTAGTGAGTACAATACAACGCACGAAACAGATACACCACCTTTCCCGCCAAAATCGCACCCAACAACAGTCACAACCACCTTTCCCGCCAAAATCGCACCCAAGAACAGTCAGAAAAAGCAAAACACTCGCCTGGCAAATTTCGACAGAGTAGCAAAACAAGAAAAGAGGACATGTTGAAAACCAGGAGACGACGTACTGGAAACTTTTGCCGATTAAAAAACTACAAAACAAACATCGTTATTAGTGCACTTTTCTTTCGTGAGAGAATGCCCGCTCTTCCCAATGTCGCCACATGCGGCTGCGGGTTCCTCACATTTCCTCTCTCTTTTCCTCTTTCTTTCTCTCTGCCGGGACGCAATCCCATGCGCAGCTACTGTTTACCGTATAACTGTCTTCGCTTCGTTGATTGGTCGGCACGGGACTCAGCCATTGTTTTGTTAGCTACTGTTAGTCTACAAAAAGGGAGTGATTCAATATTAGCGGACAGGAAGTATCAGCCTCTCCCCTACATTCGTTCTCCATTTGACTGACGAAGGTTCAAGACTCGACTGGTCGATTTGCAGACCTGGGCGTTACATTGGAAACATACGAAACGGTTAGTACTAGTTGGTAGACATAAAACACCCAGCTCACTACGATGATGACCCGCACACGACTATCCGCCCGCCCAAGCATCAAATCCGCAGAAGAAACTACCGAGGCAGCCCACCCACCCAACAACCCACTCATCCATGATGACTATAGATAGCTATAGGTACCGCAACTCAACGGCCAGCACTCTGCCCATCCCACGCAAACCAACAACGCCAGAAACCTCCCCCCCCCACCCCTTAATACTCCCCGTAACTACCCCCACCATATTGGGAAGAACTAGGAAGAACACCATACTGTGATGCTTGCGGCTGCGCGGAATAATGAGAGCCAGAAGATCCTCCCATCGTCGAGTGCGAAACAGATGATACCCCTCCCTGAGGACCCGACACGTGTCCGCCGTACAAGCCCATCCCGCTCATCCCTCCGCCGTAACCGCCATAGCCACCATCCAGAGATCCTCCCACAGGTCCCGTGCCTCCCCCTCCAGCAGACGCTCCCCCTACCGACGACGAATAACCCCCAACCCCGACGACAGACGAGGGTGTCGTCGTCGCGCCCGACGAAGTAGGGTACGACTGCCCCGCCATGAAATTCTGAATCAACGTCTGCGCCGTCTGCACTTGCGCCGCCGATCCTCTGATCTCCACGGCCATCTCGCCGGGCAAACCCGCTGCCTCCTGCACAGTCACAGACGCCCCACTCACTCTCCTCACGTAGGTAATGTTCGCCCCGCCGACACCAATAATAGCATCCGCATAGCCAAGGGGAATCTGCATTCGCTGACTGACTTGAGTTATGGCGTTCAGGGTGCTCGCCGGGGTGATTCCAGACTGAGACATGCCGTTACTCATGGAGGACAGCGAGGGGTCCCGGCCGTACATTGTCACGCCTGAATGATGAGTGGAGACCTGGTGCATACCGACACCATGATGAGATGCGTGGATCGAGGGCGTGTCATAAGCGCCTGCTCCTGCCCCCGATCCCGTCCCCGAGAGCATGTCTGTCGACTGGTAGTAACCGTCCAGGGGAGGTGCACCATAAGACGTCTGGTTCTGCTGGTTTTGCTGAGGACCCGACACCATGGAAGAACCCAACCCTCCACCCATTCCCCCGCCTAGACCACCCCCTCCCATGCCCCCTCCCATTCCCCCTCCCATGCCCCCTCCCATGCCACCTCCCATTCCCCCTCCCATCCCGCCGCCCATCCCACCTCCCATCCCGCCCATACCGCCTCCCATACCGCCTCCCATACCGCCTCCCATCCCACCTCCCATACCGCCGCCTCCCATCCCGCCTCCCATCCCGCTACCCATCCCTCCCGTCAACCCTCCGCTCATACCACTTCCCATCCCCGACCCCATACCTCCCCCCATCCCCGAACCCATACCCGAACCAATCCCCGACCCCATCCCTGACCCCATTCCGCCCCCCATGGAGCTGTAAGGTCCACCGGCACTCATTCCTCCCGGCTGTTGCTGCTGCCCGCCCGACGCTTTCGACCGCGGCACCTCGAACAACGGCAACACTGTGCGGTCTACCAGAAACTTCCGCAGGTGATTCACGATCAACTCAATCCCTCGGTGCACATTGCGAGCCTCCCCTGTTATCTCCACTACCTTATCGTCTATGAGTGCACACGTCGGGAGCTCTTCCACCGGCAGTATGCGGATGGTAGCTCCTGACTCATCCTGCATCGCCTTAATGGTCGTACCACCTCTCCCAATCAGGCTTCCCGCTTGCGTCGCTGCAACCAGCATTCGCGACGTAATCGCTCCCGTCGGAAAGGGCTTCGTCTCGTCATCCGTGTCCACCTCCCCAACCTCCCCCGCCACCACCCTCCTATGAACTCTCAACAGACCCTCCATCGCCGCAGACAAGGTTGCACTCTCATCCTCTCGTGCCGACACCATCACAATTCGCTCCTCTGTCCCTGGAACCCCTTCTAACACCTTGATTCGTGAACGCGTTGTCTCGCACAGCTTCTTCACGAACTCCCCCCTCCTCCCTATAATACTGCCTACCTTCCGCACAGGCACGATCAGCCGAAACACACTATCACCCGGATATCCCGGCCATTTGCGATCCCCCTTCTTGTCTTCCGCCCCTGACGTGGACGCAGGTTCTTCTCTCAGCCGTTTCACAGCTGTCGGGGACTCGACAGCTGTCGCGTTCATCGTGGCAGCCGCCGCCATGTCCACTGTCAACTAGTCACTAGTCTTCTAACGCTGTCCGATTTTCTTCCTACGTCTTTCTTTCCTTCCCTGCGGGTCCTCCTCGCTCCTCTTTCTCTCCTCCCTTCTCTTCTCTCTTCGTCTCCGACTGCAATTGCGCAACTACCACTCGTTCGTCACTCTCCCAACAGAATCGCTATGAGATCGATTACCATAGCTCATCGCCGACGTGTCCTTTCCTCAATCTCCGGCCGGAAGAACAAGATCGCAAAGATCCACCAAAGCGGCAAGATTTCGGTTTTCCACCCTATTGACAAGCTTAACCGCCGTTGGCCGACCACTACTACTTCCCCGCTCGGACGTAAGGAAAATCTCCTCCAAGCAGTGCCACGCCCCCGTTGCGAAGCGGGAGGAGACCGCTACACGGCGGCACCCGCTCGCGTCAATCAAAAAACAATAAACGGCCGAAGGGCGCCGTCGCTCGGCCCGGTACTCCCTACCTGTCCCCTCGCAATCGCTGGTTTGATCGGGCCGCATCCTGCATCACATTGGTCACATTGGGTCAGTGCAGTTCTGGATAGCCTTGACTGAGAGCAACCCCTGACTAACCCGCCCGCCGTCGCGTGGTGTCTGTCGTCCGACGCCCAAGGCCTGTCAACAAGGCACCCTACCTATGGTCTTCTGCAAGTGTCCGCGGTGCGAAACCGTGAAACTGGATGGTTCGGGCGGGGCGCGGCGGGGCGAAAACGTCGAACTGGATTATTCACAAGCCTGCGCCTCGCTGCTCGAAGGCCTTTTCGAATCACACAGACGTCCGTCTAGCCCCTAACACTATACTGTATTGGATTGTACTTCTTTGTAAATGGCTATGATTTAGCTGGGTGCGAGCTCATGACCGTTGTATGTGTGTGTAACATTCAGCCACATTTGGGCTGGGGGGAAGTGCCATTTTCTTTCCACGCCATCAGGGACTGGTTGGAGTGGATCATTTCTATATTGGAGTTTTGTCTACCCCCGGGGCACACTGGGCACGGGCAGGCAGCGCTAAGGTCCTATGTCTATTGGAGTTTTGTCTACCCCCGGGGCACACTGGGCACGGGAAGGCAACGCTAGGGTCCTATGTTTTTATTTTTTCTTGTTCACGCTCTAAGGCTGCAGTATAGTGGGTTGACGCATTTGTGTCAAGCTGGCGTAAACTTCTGTGGTGGGCGACCACTCTAAATGGTGTACAACCGGAGTGGAAGTTGTGCAGTAATCGGTCTTTTGCATTTTTACAGAGGACTGATAGCTACCAGTACCTTCAAAACATATAGGACCGGTCCTGCATTGTGTTGGGCAGCCCGAAAAGGGACCCAAAGTCTTTGAAGAGTGATTTTTTTTAGATCGATAGATCTTGAGGATCTGACAGTCACCAACTTGAATTGTCTACCGCGTGGGCGCGGGGAACGCAGCCCTAAGGTAGCCAAACAATGAGACTAAGCGCTAACGCAAGAGAGAGAGAGAGAGAGAGAGAGAGA